AACACCCATCTTGTGTTGCCTCCACCAATAGGAAGATTGCAAACTCACGACAAGGTTTTGCTGTCTAGAAACAGAACAGTAATATGCGTTTGTTATGTTGCATTTCTCTATCTCAAGCTGGACTCCTCAGCTCCACCAGGGGTCACATCCAGCAGATGAAAGGCTCTTCAAGTGGTTTACACCAGATGAGATGTGGGGGATCTGACAGGCGGAGCTCCTCCTCATTCACACATTCACAGCTTCCTCCTCATTCACTTTCCCAGCTCTGACACACCCATTGCAGCAGCAGTGGCAGTGAGCACAGAGGGGTGTGCCCTAAGACCAGTATGCCTCCTCCTTCTTTTGCTCTGACACCCTTGGAGCTTAGGGACACACCATCCCTTCCAAAGTTGTATTCTCACTAACATGAATTTTCGTAACTTTAGTAGCCTAATATGTTTTTTGTTGTGAGATTAGCATGCAAAAAAATGGACGATCATTCATCTGATATTCTCATCGTGTGTACAAAAACAAATAGGTTACTAAAGTTACAAAAATTCTCGTAGTACAGAATATAACTTCCTGCGATAATGTACTGTATTGTATTGTGTTGTAATGTATTCTTTTGTTTCCGAGCCTGCGCGGTCTTGGTCACTTGATATCTTACGAACTAATACTGTACTGATTAAGCGAAAATCATTTGTTCTGTTATCATACACAAAAAATTTTCGTGCTTGTCCCTTCAAATAATTTCGCATGAACTGTCATGGTTGGCTCTTGAAAGCTGTGTACTAATGAATAGATTATTGTACGATCGCTCCAAAAAGTGTTTTTTTCATCTGATTTTCTCATCGTGTGTCCTAGGTATAAGGGTTTACAACCACTTTAAAGCTGGAGATTGCTATCACAGGATTGCAACTTAAAAACTGCATACAGATCTCCACACATGTGAGTATCCACATTATATCTATCAGTGAGTCAGTGGCACAAGTTTGCAGAGCACATTTCATGTTTTCCTTTGTCTGAAAGTTTATCCTATTGTGAGGACAAGTGTTGTCAATGTGTTTAACAGAAACTTCACCTTTGATATGTATTTAGTCTATAGGAGAAAGCAAGCGCCAGCTGATCTTTTACTTCTATTTTTGTCTTTATTGAGTTAATTGGAGTATTTATCTATATCAGTAAGGGTGCTATTATTTAAATAGTGCTTTTTGGGGTTTTTTGCTCATTTTGCACTGTGGACTTTACTCATTCTTTTTCAGTTCAACCTGATCTATGCCTCTCCTCCCCGCAAACCCATGCCTTGCTGCTCCACAGGATGGAAATGGGAGACATACTTGTGATTCTCATTGTTCCAAATTGACCCAGGCTACCGGGATACTCAGGCCTCATTACACTCTTGGCAGACTCTCTGTGGGATCTTCTTGATCATTCAGATCTTCTCTCCCAAGGACCAATTTTCCACCCTGCTTCATGGTCACTTGCTTTGATGATGTAGTTGTTGAAGCCCAGATTCTAAGGGATAGAAACCTATCTTATTTATATTCCTACATACATATAGGGTAGGAAATCCACCTCTTGCAAGGTCTACCATTGCAATTGGAAAGCATACTTTGCATTGTCTAAGGCAAGGAAGTTTCATCGCAGATAGCAGTCCATGGGACACATAGGGGTTTATTTACTAAAGCTGGAGAGTGCAAAATCAGTCTCACTTCTGCATAGAAACCAATCAGCTTCCAGGTTTCATTGCCAAAGCTTCATTGAACAAGCTGAGGTTAGAAGCTGATTGGTTTCTATGCAGAAGGGAGTCTGATTTTGGACTCTCCAGCTTTAGTAAATAAACCCCATACTGACCTGCAATATATCAGCAATCTGTTGTAACCGCTCTCACTCCTTGGTATAGGTCTTTTTACAGGGTTTGGCTCATATAGTTCCACTTTTACAGCCACCTGACTCCATGGGCTCTCAACCTGGTTCTGTCGACTGTTCAAAAACAGCCCTTTGAGCCTATCAAGGATAGTCCTCTGTTATTGCCATCACCGAAAATTGTTTTTTTTTTTTAATTATTAGCCTTGTCTTACAAAAACATTTTTTGTTTTACACAGAGGCAATGTTTACTTAAGCCCTAGGGTCTCTTTTTCTCCCTAAGGTGGCATCACGTTTTCACTGTAACCAAGGCATTTTACTTCCATCCCTCTGTCCTGCTCCAGTGCATCCCAAGGGGATTTAAATCCAATGCTTGGATTTGGTTCAAGCTGTTCAAGTTTGTTTCTCAGCTACATCTTCTTTCAGATTGACTGACTGCTTTTTCATCATCTTGACAGGTCCCCAGGTGCCAACCTGCCTCTTTTTCACCTTTACTAGGTGGCTCAGGCAGCTTTTTGTTCAAACCTATGGGCTTAAGGATAAGGTCCCACCTTTTCCTGTCAAGGTTTACTCCACTAGATCAACACATGCCTAATGGGCTTTCACATGTTCTCTGTTTTACCATTTGCATGTTCAGACCTCATCTGCTCTTTACTCCACCACTGCTAGGCAAATTAGCTAAGTCATTATTTGAGCCTATTGTTTAAAGGATAGGGTTCCTCCTTTGCTTGTTAGGGTCTCTCTACCAGATCTGTTAGTGCTTCATGGGCATCAGGCATATGTTTCTTTGGTTTGCAAGGCTGCCACCTGGTCTTCACATGTTTGTAAGTTTAGCAGGTGGATGTTTAGGCCTCCCCTAATGCCCGTTTCAGGCATGCAAGCTGCTGTCTGAGTTCTGTTAAGCCCTTTTTTAATTTGTTTGGTATTTGGGCCTGTTACTGTTGTTTACTGCTTTGCCCACCCCTTAGCTTGACTGCTTTTGGACATCCCATTCCAACTAAGGACATCCCATGTCCTGGTGCCCTGTACTGTACGATTAATTTAGTAAGATTTTATACTTACCAGTAAAATCCTTTTCTTAGGTTAAAAACAGGACATATGATCCTGCACTCTATTCCTTAAGATCTCCTTATTGTTTTCTTTCACTATAGGTCTTATTTTACATTGAAAATGTATTTAGGCATATGATCTGTGAATTTCATACACTGACACCTCTGTTACCAACGCCTGATTCCAGGCTATAGGTGTATGGATATTCTTTGGTTTTTCACTCTGATCCATTGTTATAACACGATAAATGTACTTTCTGAAATACCATCTACTTTGTTACTTGTTACGGATTTGTTATTTTATGTACGACCACTTTTGACCTACCTGTTTTTAATGTTATAATCCTACCTGCACACAACACAGTGGTTGCAATTGTATCTTCTAAAAACATAAACTTTTTCAATAAAAAAATTTATTGAAAGGAAAATGTATTTAAGTACTCAGATTCAATTTCTAACGACAAGTGACAGAAACAATTGAGTACTGTCCGTGATACTTTTTTTATTTGCACTAACAATTTTGAGTACAAGCTTTCAGGGTATGTCCCCCGAAAGCTTGTCCTCAAAATTGTATGTTAGTGCAAATAAAAAAAGTATCACGGACAGTACTCAATTGTTTCTGTCGCAAGTGCACTAATACGGCTACAATCACCTCTAACAACAAGTGAAAAAGCTGCTAGAAACTATTGTTTTTCTTGTAACATTTTAAACAACATTTCTTCAAGAAGTATACCGATCAGCCATAACTTCATGGCCACCCACTTAAAATTGAGTAGGCCCCCCTTTTGCCACCAAAACAGCTTCTTTTGCCACTAAAACAGCCCTAACCCATGGATTCATAGACACCACTAGACCTCAGAAGGCATGTTGTGGCATCTGGCATGAAGCCATTAGTAGCAGATCCTTTACGTTCTGTAGGTTTCTAGGTGGGGACTTGTTTTTCCAGAACACCCTAAAGATGCTTGATTGCATTGAGATCTGGAGTCCATGTCAATACCTCAAATTTGTTGTGTACCTCAACCAATTTTTTAACCATTTTTGTAGTGTGGCAGATCTTACTGAGGCCACTGCCATCAGGGAATACCGTTTCCATGAAGGGGTGTACTTGGTCACCAACAATGGTTAGGTAGGTGGTATGTGTCAAGTAACATCCACATGAATGGCAGGACCAGGTCACCTTCTTCCAATGCTCCGTGTTCTTATACGTATGTGCACATTGTAGATGCTTTGGGCTGTGGACATGAGTCAGCATGGGCACCCTGACCGGTCTGCAACTATGCAGCCCCATACACAACAAACTGCCATGGTGATTTTCCAGGGAGTGGCATGTTTTTGTTTTGTTTTTTTTAACCATTTAAGGGAGTGGCATGTTTACTTATGGCTGATCAGTGTAATTACACTTGCTGTACTACTTCCCATACTTGTCTGCAGAACTTCCAGAAGACAGCAGAAACGAGAAAGATGAAAGATTATACTTGCAGAGTTGGCTGAATATGTGAAAAATATTTTTCCTTCTTTTTAACTTGTTATAGGTAAATGTTGAAATCTTGGCCTAATTGGGGGTTCTGCTTTTGCCTTAATGGTGCTTGTTTGTATACATTTAAGGCAATATGCACGTGGACATACAATTTTGTTCTCCAAATATGCTGCATTTTTTTCCTGGCAGAACTTGGCAGAAAAAATGGCTCTAATGTTGCGTAAGTATTTGCGTTTATGCGAGTATGAGCGCTCATGTTGTGCGCGTATGATGGGGTATAAATGCATTCTACTGCCCAGAATATTTGTTCTAGAATATATATATACACTTATATGCGCTCGTTTATGTGCATTTACAGATGTAAAGTTTGCTCATATGCTCCTCTCTGAAGGCAGCATTGGTGCCTTTTTGTGCCTCTAAAATACTAACTTAAATGTGTGATGTGCATGGCCACATAGGCTAACATAGAGTTATGTTTGGAGGTATAAAAACAAATATGCTGTATGCCTGTGAAAGCAGCATTTATTATGTTCGTTTGCATGAGGCCTAAATGCCTGCCTATGTATATTTTAAAAAAAATTTAAATTTGGACATTCATTTGCACTTCTTTCTTACATCTTTCTATCTAGGATGCCATGATATCGCTGATGAGTTTAGGACACAGGAGATTGATGGACAGGCTCTTCTGTTACTAAAGGAAGACCATCTCATGAGTACCATGAATATTAAGCTAGGACCAGCCCTGAAGATCTGTGCTCGTATTAATTCACTAAAGGATACGTAGTATACAGTACAGCTGTACTGTGCCTGAACTGTGAAAAAATGTCAGGGCTTGCAAGTAAGTTGTGCATAGTTTTGTAACTTTGTACATATCATCATTGCAAACCTGCCACATTTATGAACCTCTAGACATGTTTAAAAAAAGCTTTAATATTTGACATATTTTATTGCATCGACGAGGCATCACTGGTAATAAGAAATAAGGAAAGTTGTTGTATTACGGTGGTACATTTCATGACTTACATTTCAGCTTTTTTAATTTTTAAATACACTTCCAATGGACTAGAATCTATTAGCAACAGACAAGAGAGGAAAACCTTCAGAGATAATACTATTGAAATGCCCATGGCTCAGTCAGATAGGTATTATATTTGATACTACTTGTGTTTAACAAGTGTTTTTTCTTTTCTACCATAAATGTGTCCAAACGAAAAGTATTCAGCTGGACAGTACAAAGGCCAGTCCACCTAGAAATGGTATTTCTACTTTGGGTGCATGCCAGAACTCAGCATCTTCTTTTATGGCTTAGGAAGTTAGACAAGATATCTGCACTTTGAGCAGCCACTGCAAAGTTATCTCACTTGATTTGTTGATGCTTTCCTAGATGTTACCTTACAGAGAAAGCAGTGAGAGGAGTGTAACCTTTCTCTTTGCAGCAGAATCAAGGTCATGACACCTTATGTGCTGAAAAGGGCAAGACTTGTTTAGAGAAGGGGGTGCAAGAAATCTCTGTTGAAGAGAGATTGTTTTGTATACAGTATAAGGAGCTAGTGGTGGGTCATTTATTGTCCACCCACATTTGAGATTTCACTTTTTAGTATGGCTGCTGTTATCTTATGTCTGTAAGGTATTCATAAGATGCTTTGTGTATTTTATTGCACTTAAAAAGCCTGTAGCTTTCCTGTTGATGAAGTGTAAGCTCTGCTACTTGCTAAGTGTTAAGGCGTGCTGGAGCTTGTATTTCAACAGCAGTTGTGGGGATAACAGGTTGACTACTCCCTTGCACTTTAAGCTATTACAAAAATATATTTATCTACATTTAGATAACAATATCATGTGATTATTGTAAATATTTGCTTGTGTTTGACAAGCAGCCATTACACACAGCGTAGTTTTATGGAGGGGAACATTTATACCTTAGACTGTAACTATCAGAAATAGCCAAAGGCTGGCTATAAAAGGACTCATTTTTAACCAAGACTAACAGGCAGTGAGACATATGCCCATCCTCAAAGATATCACCATGTCTGCAGTATCCGCTAAAATCTTCACTCTGATTTTACTGATGGGTTTTAGTAATGCACAGATGAAAGACAACTTTTATTATCTCAATATAAATGGCACCAATCACGGCCTGTTCACATCAAGATTTTCCAACAAGTGATGCCCCGCACACATGGACCAAATATCAGGTGGTATTGGCCCATGTGTCTGATAGCCAATCCGAGAGAAGCCGGCCGAATGTCCAGCTTCTGTTGAAGGGGCATGACTGAAAAAGGCCTGCTGATTGGCATCCAATCAGTGCTCTCAGCCAATGGCTGAGAGTGCTGACTGGTGTGTTCTGGTGGAAGGCCATTTCCCCTGTCAGAACACAATAGCTCAGTGGGGAGATCGCTGTACTTACATCGGATTGTTAGTACAGGATCTCCTCCCTAGATCTTCAGGTTTTTTTTTTCATTCAGCCTGCTGGGTTGAACAGAAAAAAAACTGATAGTGTGTACTAGGCTTTAGAAAAGCTCTGTATGTGATAAAGGGCACTTTCAACTCTCAAAAGCACCAATATCTCTTCATAGGAAAGCCCTACACAATCTATTTGCATCCTGATCATTACAAACCGAGCTTGGTATGGGTGGATTACTTGCTGAGATCAGTTTTTACACTGCTCAAAAAAATTAAAGGAACACTTTGAAAACACATCAGATCTGAATGCGGAAAAGAACATGCTGGATTATCTATACTGATATGGACTGGGGGTAGGTAAGGTGTTAGGAATGTAAGGATGCCCCATCGTTTGATGGAAATGAAAATTATCAACCTACAGAGGACTGAATTCAAAGACACCCGAAAATCAAAGTGAAAAATTGATGCAGCAGGCTAGTCCATTTTGCTGAAATTTCATTGCAGCAACTCAAAATAGTATTCAGTAGTTTGTATGGCCCCCATGTGCTTGTATGCATGCCTGACAACGTTGGGGCATGCTCCTAATGAGACGATGAATGGTGTCCTGGGGTATTTCCTCCCAGATCTGGACCAGGGTATCACTGAGCTCCTGGACAGTCTGAGGTGCAACCTGGCGGCATCGGATGGACCGAAACATATCCCAGAGGTGTCCTATTGGATTTAGGTCAGGCGAGCGTGGGGGCCATTCAGTGGTATCAATTCCTTCATCCTCCAGGAATTGCCTGCATATTCTCACCACAGGATGCCAGGCATTGTTGTGCAAGGAGGAACCCAGGACCCACTGCACCAGCGTTAGGTATTGAGATGAAATCCTTGGACACATTGTCAGACCCAATAGCAGTCAGGGTGCCATTGTCTAGCCTGTAGAGGTCTGTGCGTCCCTCCATAGATATGCCTCTCCAGACCATCACTGACCCACCACCAAAATGGTCATGCTGAACAATGTTACAGGCAGCATAATGTTCTCCATGGCTTCTCCAGATCTTTTCACGTCTGTCACATGTGCTCAAGTTTAACCTGCTCTCATCTGTGAAAAGCACAAGGTGCCAGTGGTGAACCTGTCAATTCTGGTGTTCAATGGCAAATGCCAATCAAGCTCTATGGTGCTGAGCAGTGAGCACAGGACTCACTAGAGGACGTTGGGCCCTCAGGCCACTTTCATGAAGTCTGTTTCTGATTGGTCATAGACATTCACACCAGTGCCCTGCTGGAGGTCATTTTGTAGGGCTCTGGCAGTGCTCATCCTGTTCCTCCTTGCGGAGGAGCAGATACCAGTCCAGCTGATGGGTTAAGGACCTTCTACGGCCCTGTCCAGCTCTCCTAGAGTAATTGCCTGTCTCCTGGAATCTCCTCCATGCTCTTGAGACTGTGCTGGGAGACACAGCAAACCTGCCATCCTGGAGGAATTGAACTGCCTGTGCAACCTCTGTAGGGTCCAGGTATCGCCTCATGCTACCGGTAGTGACACTGACCTTAACCAAATGCAAAACTAGTGAAAAACAGTCAGAAAAGATGAGTAGGGAAAAAAAATGTCACTGACCTCCACCCCAAAACTATTCCCTTTTTGGGGGTTGTCTCATTGTTGCCCATCTAGTGCACTTTCTGTTAATTTCATTACCACCAAAGCAGCTGAAACTGATTAACAATTCCCTCTGCTACTTAATGGACATATCAATATTCCAGGAGTTTAACTGATTTGATGCTATGCTCTGATTAAAACGTGTTCCTTTAATTTTTTTGAGCAGTGTATATTACCTTAGAAAGAAAACAATCAAAATATTCCCACATTACACATTAAACTACAAATAGTGATACATGGCCTGTGTTCTTTTTCATATTGAGTACAGGTGTTAAAGAGTGACTGCACCAAACGTATTCCAAATGAAGTAAAGCATGGACAGTGTGTATGGAGCGGATGTGCTAGGAAGATATCAAAAGGCATACTGATGGAAAACAGAGGCAGTTATTAAAGCCGCACTCTGAGATACTTTTCACAAAATCTCTAGCCATTATTACTTTCATTATAAAAATGATATGCTCATTATAAGGAACCCTGCTTTCAGCCTAAACAGAAATAGATTGGTACCTGTGATATCATCCATGTGTGCTTTTCCTTCCTTTAATCCCCCCCCCCCCCACTGGGTTCTGAGAGCTGGCACACCACACATTGCCACCACACGTCACCACTCCTCTTTCCATAAGAAACTACACATCCCATTATGCCATGCTGTTACTTCCTGTTTGGGCGGGTCTATGGGCAGGTCTATGGGCAGTGTCAGTGGGACTAATCTAGCACTCTGTCACCGCCCATAATACGCAAATTGTGCCAGACAAAGACAGGCAAGACAAGCATTCTCTTTCTGTGCAAAAAATACCCTTTTCCCCCCAAATTAAAGCATCTGATTCTTAATACTAAAAAATTAAAGTAAAGTATTTTTACTCAGATATTGTTGGGAAACGTGCACAGGAATAGAAAAGCAGGTGCAAGGTGGGCAGAGCTGACCCATTTCTTTATGATGACGTGATGAAGTCAGAAATCTAACAGATAGGAGTACAAAGGGGCGGCGAGGGGACCAGTCACCCTGCAAAGGAGAGAGCAGGTATGATTGGTCCCCCACACAGGAAATGAAAGCAGAGCAGCTTTTGAATTATGACTTGGGAGGAGAACGGTGCTGCTGCAAGGTAAATGGAAGTATTATTATTTATTGTTCTAGAATCGCCATAAATAGATTGATCTCAGAGTGGAGCTTTAAGTGGCTATCCAAGAGTCAGGTCAACTGTTTTCATGAGAAGAGGTCGCCCTTCTAATAGATATTTAGTTTCAAACAGATTATTGAATACTAATGCAATATTGACAGTATACCCAGGACGCAGGAAAATCAAGGTTACTTTTAGATACTACAGTTTAATAACAAATACTGAATATACATTTTTGCAAACATTTATGTGCATGTTTCTATACAATGAGAGATTGTATTAGAACAGAATGTATTAGAAAACATAACCAAATCCTAATCGATATTCAGTGTTACGTGTAATCCGCTTGTGAATATTTCTAAATAGCACTTCTTTGCTGTTCTGTGCACAGTTCAATACATAAGCTGAAGACTGCAGTGTTGACTTGAGAATCAGCTCTAGTATTAATTGGGATGGACTGTGAGAAATGTGGTAATAGGTTACTAAGTAAGTGAAATGTGCAGACTTGATTTACTAGTTTCTCAGATTTGTTTACTGATGTATGATGTCACAAGGAAGAAAGCACACATTGTTTTTCCACAAAACAAATATCTACAAATAGGCACAGTCCCATATACCGCTGTGAAA